GACCTGAAACGTCAACTCTCCTGCTCCTCTGATGCTGCCTGACCTGCTGCAATCCTCCAGCTCCACACTGTATTGACTCTGACTCCAGCATCTGCAGTTTTTGCTATCTCTAAGGCTGCAAACAGACTAGCTTAATCTCTGATTGTAGTCTGGAGATGCCTTTAATCTATGCAATACTACATTCAGTTGAAGGAAATTTCTGCTTTTCCAGTACTGGATGTTGGATAAACAGTCTGATAATTTAGCAATAGGAAATAGGTGGTGTTCAGATAGACTTGGGGAGATAAAGCAAGGTAGAAAAACATTTACAAAGGATGACTGGCATTTAGTGCAGGTATGATATAGCATGTTAAGAGGCTGTTGAAACAGCAAATGGCAGAGGAATGGGGAGGATAGGTGGGCTGCATGAAGTTTTACTGCATCTCAATTGCAATATTTACAATTCTTTTTTAAACAAAGGAGTTCATACCTCGAATTTAACATCTTTTCCCAATGTTCACGTTTTCTTTTTAGAAACAGACTCCTCCACTATCACACATCCTGCCAAGACTAACAAGTGTCTTCCTTGGACTCTAAATCTACCACTGGAAGCTCACAAGCATGATATAATTGACTCTACCTGTGAAAAGCTTTCCCCTTCTGATTGTGTCCCATGACAATTCAAAACAGTGAAATCACCCAATCAAGACCTGATAAGTTTACACCAACACAATTCTGAATGAATTTAATCACAATGTAGTAATCAAAACAAGAATACAATTACTTGGGTTACAAACTATTTTCTTTTTTCTTTGTTGAGGGAAATATCAACAAAGAGAACATTAGAAGTTCATACCGGTCGATTTGATGAGCAAGTTTGGTTTGCAGAATTGGCTGAAGCAGTGGAAATGTCTCCAGAACACGGATTGTTCTTCATTGACTTAGTGCGGCTGAGGTCTGATGTATAGTCAGGAGCTGAAACATCACTCCGACTCATCACAGATACAGATGAGACAGAACTACACCTTGATCTGGCAGAGTAATTGTTCTTGGGATGAGACACTACGTAAAAGAGAGAGAAAAAAACCCTGCTTAAGATAATGCAAGTTAAGACAAGATTACTTTGGAATAGCCTTTAGAGAGATGCAATTGAAAAACCAGAGCAAAATAGAATGGGGCAGAGGTAAAGGGAATTAGGATGTCAGACAGGCAAGTAGCATTGCATACTAAGGAAGAAATGTTTAGAGAAAAAAATGCTACATTATTCAGTCAGCAAGTAATATCAGTTTTTGTAGAGTTTGTGCATATTGTCAATTGTTGATGTGTGTATTAAAGAAAATGTGAAATTGATGCTTCTGCCTGGTCAGCTCTTCCAGTCACCTGAGAATGCTCTGAAAGTATTCACTGTGTACACTTAGGCAGTTAAGTCAGAAAAAACTTGCTTTAATATTGCGATCCCAGGATGTTCCAAAGCACTTGCCATCCAGTTGATTGCTGTGCATTGCAGTGGTGTAGGCGACTGTTTGATGCGCAGCATGAGACTAATGACCGACTAATTGTTTTTCGTGGTATCTGAGGTTGGAATGTTTCTCAGGACACCAGAACTCACTACTCTTCTTTAAATAACATCATAGCATTTTTTACATTTATCAGAGCAGGCAGGTGGGCCGTCAGTTTATTTTCTGATTGCGTTTTTGTGGGCGTCCAAAAGTCAAACACGATCCTGGTGAGGCATTGACATATCAGTTTATGTTAGAGCTAAGAGAGCTACCAGTAAACTGGAATGAAACTCAAACTTAAAGATGCCTCCTGAGATAACTTAAGCTTGTCATAAGGAATCAAGAATGTTTGGAATTCTTAACATCAGTACAGATTCATTTTTCCTGATGCAAGACAGTGGTATTGCAAGGCTTTTCTGTCATACAACAGCTGTTTTGTGTCACATTTGCAGAGTGGGAACCTCAAAATGTTTGGATACTGGACCAAGTTTAATTAAAAGCAGAAGTGTATGAAGGCTTCATGTGAAAGTACTGACAATGAGATACATTAAAGTGAGAGTCATTAAAATTGTCCTTCTGCTTTTTATCTTTTTTTTTCAACTTTCTATAATATTGAGTTAATTAAGTCAGCTAACAAAGTAGCTGACTATGGAAGTCTTCTTGCAGTGTGGTAAAATGTATAGGGACCCTTCCTTTCTAAGCAGGAAACTCACATTGTTGAAGTACCTAGGAAATATGCATCAACTATTTGTTGGGTTCTGTTCACTTGCCCACAAAAATCGCTATAGGAATTGAGCATCCTGCTCTTCTCATTTGCTCCAGGATGTTGCGCAAGTCTTTTCAGCGCACACGCGGAATTTCTGCGCCGCAATGCAATCAAGTACCTTACTATGCTGGCTTGCAATGAGATTACACCCAGTGACATGTAATGGCTTTAAACCTTTAGTGGGAGATGTATTGCAAGTTCTTGTATTAGACAGAGTACATGATGGAAAGAATGAACGCAGAATTAGGGGTCAAAAGAGGAAAATTGTCCTGGGTCCCGGAGTGCAATACCAGGAACCACTGATTCACATTGGGTGTTAGCATCGAAGCTGAAGTGTTCCAGGAAATAATCATATACCTTCAGTGCTCGTGTTCTCCTTCAGAAACAAACATTCAAATCTCCCATTCCAATCAATGCACTTTTGTCTCCCTCAGATTTTCCTTGCAATATAACTACTGGATCCAGCTGCTGGTTATGATAAACTCAAAGCCAGCTGCATTCCCTGTGTGATGACTTATCAGATTTTGTAAGTCATAGGTTGCTGTACATATTAAAGTACCAGAGATAGAATTAAAATGCTACCTTGGGAGTATACTGCAGCATTACCAATTATGACTGGACTTGGCAGGTGGCAGCACTGGGCAGCAAATCTGTGGCAATTGATGTAGAGAGTTAATTTGGAACAGGCCATGAGCAAGCTGAAGCTGAAGGATCAAGGCTGACAGTTGCCAAAAGAATCTAGCTACAAAATTATTTTCAGCACACACAAGTTTAGCTGAAAGAGTTGGTTACTGTATGCTGACTTGTCACAGAATTCAACAGCAGGCACTTCACATTGACTAAATGCAGCCTCCTTTAGATTTAACAAACAACTTAGCAGTTCACACTGAAAACATGACCTTAACTACACATTGTTCTTTAATCAAAATAGCTGGCCTACACCCTCATTCTGATGCTACATAAATCAATGCATACAATGCAGGTAACACAGTTCAGGTTGTGCTGCAGCCTCTATTTAGAAATGCTCAGTGCCCCACCTCCAAGGATGATTTACAGGTCATTTTTCTATTAAATGTTAGATGCCAAGCCTCATCTTACCTTGTCCAAAGGCTTGGATACTCGCTTTGAGTTCTTCCACATCACAGGTGAACTGTGCACATCGCCCCAGGTCTTCATCATATTTTCGTTCACTAACAAAGTGCTAAAATACATTTAAAAAAATAACTCTAGCAGATGAAGTCCAGGTATATGGTAGTTTAGCTTTTTAAATCATACAATAATCATGATTCCTAGTTATGCAACTGGCAGTTTGGATTCAGACTGCTGTACAATTTGTAACAATTATTAAAATAGAGTTACTTTTGTGCATCCTGTATCTACCAAATATAATTGGGACTGCTCTGATTAAGTCAACAGAACATGTAAATCTAAAATCAATTTATATACTGTGTTAATTCTCAGTCATTGTTTAAATCAAGTGAATGCAAGTTTATCTCGTCTACATGACAGTCACTTCCTGTAAAACATACCTGAAATGTCGCCATGGGATAATGGTTCTCAAATTCTGATCACATTCACCCAGAATTCCACTGTTTGCTATTTTAGTGCACTGATTTGTTTTCAATAAATGGGTTAATATTGAGCATCCCAAAGCATAACTTCAAGGTGATGTATTAAGACTAAAAGGTTACTATTATGGCATTAAAATGAAATTCAACAAAAATTTTTAAACCTTACTCCACAAAATGCACAACACTCTCTTCTAAGCATGAAAACATACAACACTACAATGTTATGTAGCAGAAAATCTCCTGGCTAATGAGCACAAAATAGAAGCTCAATCTTTTGTAACCAGATGTTAGGAAGTAAAAGGAATTGAAGTAAAAGGAATTGAAGGAAAGAACACACATCTCTTCAGGAGGTCTTCTTCTCCTACAAGGATTCTATGTGAAATTAATTTGGGTAGTCTTGGCCCAGTTCCTATATGGAAAACAGCTCACACTACACATCAGAGTGGAAACAGTCATCTAACATTGGAACAGAGGGAAATTGCTGAAGCAGAGAGAGAAGGGCTTTGCAAACAAGATCATATCTGTACTACACTTTAAATGGAGTTCCTGATTCAGAAAAAAAGTGGAAAGATATTTAGTTCCACAACATTGATACCTTGCACCATGTTACTGGACTAGCAATCCAAAGGCCGAGTCTAATGATCCAGAGATTATGACAAAGTGTTGGAAACACTTAGACCAAGCAGCATTTGTGGAGCGAAAAGGAGTCAATATTTTAGGCCTTTAATCAGAAGCCCTCATTGAAGGGTTAAGGTTAGGGTTACCTGAACCTGAAATATTGACTTTGTTTCTCTCCAAAGTATATAGTTTTTTTTCTATTTTTATCTCACATTTGAAGTATTTTCAATACTTTGCTTGGAGAATGACCCAGAGATAGGAGTTCAAATCCCACCATTGCAAACAGGAAATTTAAACTCACTGAATCAAATAAATCTGGGATAAGAAAACTTGTCTGAGTAAATGGTAATCACAAAACTATTAGGCTGTCATGAAAAAAAAAATTCATGAATGCCCTTTAAGGAAGGAAATCTGCTTTCTTTACCTGGTCTGGCTTCGCAGAAAATTTAAAAAGTTTGTGAACAACTTTAAAATTAATGTATATGATATAAGCAAACTGTAAACAACATGAAGGCATAATTCAAAGTTCTTTTTAATAATTTTCCAAAAAAAAGTTTCATCTTGGGAGCAGAGACTGAAAATAGTGATAGCATTAAAGACGAACAATGTGTTAAGACGAGCAGAACTGAAGTTTATAACATGGTAGGGGAGTTGTCTCAGATATAGAGGAGCCCGCACAGTGCACAAGATGAAGCTGGGACCAACTTCAGTCAGAAGTGCTGAGTGCATGATCCATCTTGGTCCCATCTGAGGATTCCAGCACCACAGACGCCAGTCTTCTGCCATTTGATTCACTCTACGTGACACCAAGAAACAGATTAAAGTGCTAAATAAAGCAAAGGCCATGGGTCCTGACAACATACCAATGGTAGAACTGAAGGCCTGTGCTCTTGAGCTAGCTCTGCCTCTAAGGCCCTATCCAAACTGTTCCAGTACAGCTACAATACTGGCATCTACCAGACAATGTGGAAAATTGCACACAAAGTAGATAGAATCTAGCTGAGTTAATTGACACCTCATCAGATTAATTTTGGTCATCAGCAAAGTTACGGACAGTGCTGTGAGGTGGCATGAATGCTCAAGGTTCTTGTGGTGCAGTGATTGTCCCCCTAGCTCTGGACCAGAATTGCTTGGTTCAAGTCCACCTGCTCCAGAGGGGTGTCATAACTTCTCTGAACAGGGTGATTAGAAAATATCTACAAATGCTCAGCTTGAATTCCAATAGGACTGCTAAGCACCAGACAAAACAGCTAAGTTCCAGAGATCAGGTGAAAGTGATTGCCCTTGACATCAAAGCAGCATTTGACTGACAGTGGTGTCAAGGAGCCCTAACAAAATTGAAGTCAATGGGAGCCAAGGAGAAAACTTTCCAATGATTGAAGCCATACTTAGTACAAAGAAAGATCACAGAATGGTTACAACATTGAAGAAAGCCATTCAGCCCATTGTGTCTATGGTGGCCCTTGTGAGAACAACTCAGCAAGTCCCACTCTTCATCTGTTTCTCTATAGCCACAGCACAACAAAAGCTCGAGGCCTTTGCAACCAGATGAGTAAAAATTAACTACCTAACTATTCAAATTCTATTTTCCAGCACTTGGCCCATAGCCTTGTCTGCTTTGGCATCACAAGTGCACATCTAAACACTTATATATTATGAGGGTTTCCGCCACTACAACCCTTACACAGGCAGTAAGTTCCAGATTCCCACCACCCTCTGGGTGAAAAACAAATCTTCACATCCCCTATAAACCTCCAGCCCTTCTTAAATTTTATACATCTCTATCATGTCCCCGCTCAGTCTCCTCTGCTTTAAGGAAAGCAACCCCAGTCTGTTCAATCTCTCTTCATAACTGAAACTCTCCAGCCCAGGCAACATCCTGGTAAATCTCCTCTGCATTCTTATCCAGTGCTATCACATGCCTCCTATAATATGGATTCCAGAACTGCACACAATACTCCAGCTGTGGCCTAATCAATGTTTTATGCAGTTCCGTCATCACCTTCCTGCTCTTAAATTCTATGACTTGACTAATCAAGGCAAGTCTATCATTTGCCTTCTTCACCATTTTATTTACCTGTCCCACTATCTTAAGGGACCAGTGGACATGCATACAAAAGTCTCTCTGATCCTCGGTGCTTCCCAGGGTCTTAACATTCATTGTGTATTCCCTTGCCTTGTTTGTTCTGCCCAAGTGCATCATCCCACACTTATTTGATTGAATTCCATTTGTAACTCTTCAGCCCACCTGACCAGTCCATCTATATCCTCGTGTAATCTAAGGCTATCCTCTTCTCTATTTAGCACCCTATCAATTTTTGTATCATCTGCAAACTTCGTGATAAACCCTCCTACACTTCAGTCATAATCATTGACATTAACCACAAACAGCAAAGGTCCCATTGTGGGGCCCCACTAAACACAGGCTTCCAGTCATAAAAGCACCCCTCAACCATCACCCTCTGCTTCCTGCCACTCAGCCAACTGTGGATCCAAATTTGCCACACTTCCCTGGATCTCACTGGCTCTAACTTTTGTTGTTGGTTTCCAATGCTTTGCTGAAGCCCTGCAAATCTTTTTTCTTCAGATAATTATCCAATTCCAATTCAAAAGCAACAATTCATTCTGGCTCCATCACACACTCAGGCAGATCCCATTATAAGGAGGAGGTGATGGCCTAGTGGTATTATCGCTGGACTGTTAATCCAGAGACCCAGACAACATTCTGAGGACCCAGTTTCGAATCCTGCCATGGCAGATAGTAGAATGTGAATTCAATAAAAATCTGGAATTAAGAATCTAATGATGGCCATGAATTAATTGTCAGGAAAAACCCATCTGGCTCACTAATGTCCTTTAGGGAAGGAAACTGCCATCCTTACCTGGTCTGGCCTACATGTGACTCCAGACCCACAGCAATGGGGTTGACTCTGCAATTAGGGGTGGGCCATAAACACCCTCATCCCATTAATGAATAAAAGGAAGGAAGATTTTCATGTTATTGTTGGTTTTGTCAATCACCTTAAATTCGTGTCCTTTGGTTCACTATCCAGTTTCTCCCTGGTCAGACCCCTCATGAGTTTAAACATCTCGATCAAATTTCTTCAATTTTCTCAGCTTCGCTAATCTATTAATGTAACTGAAGTCCATCATCCCTAGAACCATTCCTGTTGTGATTCTTGGGAGACCAATCATTTCAGCCCCAGACTATTGCGACAGGAGGTCCTCATGGTGATGTCTTAGACCAGCTTCAACTAACTCATTAATGACCTCTCTTCCATTTGAAGTTTGGAAGTGGGGGATATTCACTAACGATTGCACAGTATTCTATTCAATTTACAACTTCTTGGATATTGAAGTAATTGATGTCCATATGCAACAAGTCCTGGATGATATTTAGGCTTGGGTCAACAAGCATCAAGTGTCATTTGCAGAAAACAGATGCCAGGCTATTACCACCTCTAATGAGCAAGTTTAACCATCTCTCTCTGACATTACTCACATCAAATCCCCACCATCAAAATCAGGGGGCTCCGTTGACCATAAACTGGATCAGCTACACAAGTGCTATGGTTACAACAGCAAGTCTGAGACTGAGAATTCTGCAGTGAGCAACTCACCTCCTGACTCCCTAAAAACTGCCTGCCATCTAAAGGCACAAATGAAGATTGTGAATTAATGTTCTCAAATTGCCTATGTGAATAAAGCTCCAACAACACTCAAAAAGCTTGATCCAGGACAACGCAGTTTACCTGACTGGCATCCCTTTAAAACATGCATTCCCTGTCCACTGGTCCATTATGTTTGCAATACGTATCATAGGCAAGATACAGTGCAGCAACTGGCTAGGCTTCCTTTGACAGCATTTTTCAAACCTGCAACCTCTACTATCTAAAAAGACGAACAAGGGCAACAGGCATACTTGAAGACCACCATACATCTGACTTGGAAATGTATTGCTATTCCTTCGTCTTTACTGGTACACAATTCGGGAACTCTCCATCAGCACTGGGAGCACTTCCACCACACAGACTACAGTGGCTTAACAGGGCTGCTCATTATCATCTTCTCATGGGTAAATAAGGGATGGGCAATAAATGCTGGCCACGCCAACAATACCCAAGCCCCACAAATGAATAAACACAATTTAGTGTCAAGAATTACATAGTTTGAGCAATTCAGTTGTGTATTGATATAAAATTCATTTAAAAAAACTTACATTCATACAGAGCCTGACCATATCTTTCACAAAACACTTTGCAGATAAATTATTTTAAGAAGTCATTGTTGCTTTGTAGACAAATGCAGCAGCTAGTTTGCGCACAGCATAGTCCCGCAAATAGCAATGAAAGAGGGCATAATTAAACTGTTCTTGATGGTCCTGGTTGTTGACAAAGCATTTGCTACTCTTCAAAAAGCGTCATAGGATCTTTTATCATTCGTGTGAATGGACAGATGGGTCATCATCTGAAGTACAGCACCTTAGACGGTATAGCAATTTCGCACTGGATTTAAACACTCATCTAGATTATATGTACAAATGCGAGAATGCGCACAAAATTTATAACCTTTACTTGGAAGCAAGAGTGTGACCACTGAAGTAAGGGTGCATTAAGCATATAGAAGCATGTAGAAGGGACATTTTAAAAGTTCAGATCAAGTATGAAATGCTAAGAAAATGCAATTTTGGACAAACAATTGCATGCTCTCCACAACCCTATCGCATGATAATGGGTATCTAGTTGTCCCCATTTGATGAAAAAAAAATTGCATTATCCAAAGTACCACAGAGCCTGGACCAAAAATAAAGCAACCAAACCAATATCAAGTGATGACGTGTGGGTCATCCACATTTTGAATCAAGCTTCAACTGCAGAATGCTGCGAGGCCTTGATACAGTGTACATGGAGATGTTTCCACTGGGAGGATAGAATAGGACCCAAGGACACAGCCTTAAGTGAAGGGACAACCCTTTAGACGAGATGAGGAGGAATTTCTTCAGCCAGAGAGTGGTGAATCTGTGGAACTCATTGACACAGAAGGCTGTGGAGGTCAAATCATTCAGCGTATTTATTCAGAGACAGATAGGTTCTTGATTAATAAGGGGATCAACGGTTATGGGGAGAAGGCAGGAGAATGGCATTGAGAAACATATCACCCATGATTGAATGGTGAAGCAGACTTGATGGGCAGTACAGCCTAATTCTGCTCCTATATCTTATGGTCTAACTTTCTAGTTCATTAAAAACAAGCCACCATTGGTTGCTTGATACATTATTAAATAAATATGGTTTAAGAATAATATGAAGCAGCAAGACTAGGATTCATATTTGCGATTCCTCATGTGGGGAGCAATTCACCAGAAGGGTGATAAAGTTTTTATTTTCAATATAACAGTTGTCTTAGGATACTCATCTTTTCCATTGGCTAACTCAAACTAAACAATATTTGACAATGCCTGTTTAACTAAGGAATGCTGCATGAGGATACAACACTGGACAATGGCAAGGAAAAATGTAGGAAGATCAGAAGGATGGAATGAAAATACAGGAAATGATTTAACATTACAAAACCAAAAGTGCAAGTTTGTTTGTCTATTCTGATGGAACTAGGTGAAATTACCTTTTATTTATATGGATTAGAGATGAATGAGTCAGCAAAATTAAATTAACCTCTATCTCCTAATCAAATCTAAACTAATTGTATTTTAGTTGTTGTGAGGGAAATTGTTCAGAAAGGAAACTGCACAAATGGCACTGTATTATTAGCTTTATTTAGTGCAAACATTCAATATTCTTCAACAGGCTGCTCTAGAATAAAAAGAAGCATTGAAGAAAGCTTAATGCAGGATATTCAGCAAGTTACTGATGTTAGTGCAGCTTAAACCAAAAGTTTTCCTTGTTCTAAACAGAAATTGTGTCACTGATGGAGTTTCAATGTTAAAATAGTAACAAACTTAGGCACTCCTTTTGTTGTATCTAGAACAGGTTGACTTTTAGGATTTCAAACCAAGCTGTAAAAATGTTACAGGTGGTCACTTGTTAAAGGATAAATTTAAAGGGCTAAATATGATCAAGGCAAAGAACAACCAAGCTATGCTTTTAAAAGTGCTTCAGGCTTTCACAATGTTTCAACAGCAACAAATTTACCTTAATATCCGCTCTGAGCTCCATGAGCTGCTCCTCAGACATGCGGACTGCATTGTCTGTCATTTTTTTTAATGCTTCAGCTCTCTTCTGACGACTGTCCAAGATATCCACTGAAAAGTGTGTGTAAGTAATAGGATATCATTCAGTACAGCCTTACAATCATGTACAGTCAATCCAAAAACTATCTATTCTACGCACAATGCAGTTTAAACTAGAATTCCAATTTACCATACCTGTTCACTCACATTAAATAAAACACTACTTAAAACAGTTCACAAGTCAATTTTTAAATAAATTAAGTGAGCCTTTTGAGGGCAAGTTTCATAAGCTGGCGAAGGTCGTATCTCAACCCCAAAACCCACGGTCAATCTATTTAACATGCATTCAATTGAATCCTTCATGTGTATCAGTTAAAATGAGACTTTATAACAATAGCAACCCTTAGGAGGTGGTTCGTTGGAGCACTGGCTGATGCTGGAGAACTGGTTATTCACCCACCTGTTGTCTTAGTCAGAGGAAAAGCACAGGCAATTTCACTCACTAATCAAAAAAACACAGATTACAGCATCGTGTTTCATTAACCACTAATAAAGCAAGAACCAGCTGTTCTGACAGTCATGGTATGGTAGCAGCAGACTGAAAGGCTGCTGAAGTGAGAAATGAGTAAGTTTTAAGGTGGAAGGCTTTGGTGGGAGTGAGAGATTCATAACTCTTCCACTGAAACAAATAATTGTACTTCAGTTGAAAGGTTTCTTTTCCCTTTAACACAAATTCTACAGCTAGTATTTCATCTAATAGACTGTTTATAATCACAAAATAAATTCATTTCCAAGTGAGGTCAATGTGTTGGTTTGCTACTTTCGATGAAAACCATTATTAGCACCCCTTTTCCTTTTAACTTTTCAGTGATTGAAAATAAATTGTTTAGAACTGCAATTGCTGACAATGATGTTATAGAAACATCATTGTGAGAAAGAACTGAAATTGTAGTTGAAATGTCACAATTCCTTAAGCTCATGGTAACAGCTGCATCAACTGTAGTACTAATAATGAGCACCTATATATCTTTACAATTATTTGTTTTTTAATTGCACAATTTATGACCTTAAAACCCAGAACTGACCATGGGAGATTAGTTAGGATAGCAAGGCTGTGCATGTGAAATCAGCAACCAAAAACTGCCAAGATCCAGTATGAACCAAGGTTCAGACAGGCAGTCAACCTAGGCCTATAATTAGGAGGATGTTACCCATAAAGAAATAATTATGGAAAATATTTATGATACTCTATGGATAGTTTACAGGTCACTTTAGTTATATTCTGCCTCATTGTTTAGATAGCAACAATCAACACCGTTAATGTCAAAGATAGCAGTATTTGAGCCAATCATGACTTTTTGTTTGAGAGCATGCGCAAACCCTTGTGGTTGCAATCCATGCCAGACACAAAGTTGGACTGTTTCTTTTAAAAGGTCTGTGCTAGAGGCCCAACATTTACATCAACTATCTGGATCTATATTCAATACAATTAACCACAACAAGCTATTACGATTTGCAGTGGTTTGACAACTTAGAACACAGAACAGTACAGCTGTTATAACTTATCCTTTAAATTCAAAGAAAGTGATTAAAAATCTTTACATTGAACACACTTTAACTTGGCATTGAAATATCAACTCATGGCACCAACATGTTTTGAAATAAGTTATAAATGCATAGTAGTATTTATGCCAATCTCTAGGAAGCAGCCAGTGTTGTACATAATCTCAGAAGTCTCCAAAGTTTTTACCACATCAATGGTTTTTCAATAAGTTTAAAAGCAGCTTTAGCTTCTATCAAAGCTTAATTGAAACTTTCTTTTGAAACTGGAAACTAATTCACTTGTAAACAAATTTAGCAATTTCATTTGGATGCATGACATTTTCCCTGAGAAAAGTGCATCATCGGGTGGCCTAGCCAAGAGCCTAGAGTGTGTCATTAAGGGGAAATAAATTCAAATAACTCCAAGTCTGGGATTTAATCTGGTATGGAGTGTGTGTTACATAGGATATGTGGTGCAGAGACAGGTCATTCTGCCCATCTGATCCATGCCAATGTTTGTGGTCCACTCCAGCCTCCTTCCATTTTTCTTCATTTAAATCTATCATACCTTGCAAAGGCCCTTTTTCACAGTGTGGGTGAACAGTGTTAGATACATTTCGGGGGAAACCATTTGCTTCAACCATTCCCTGTGGTAGTGTATTCCATGTTCTCAGCACAAGTCAGGAGTGTGATGGAATACTCCCCACTTGCCTGGATGGG